GCTAATGCTGTCAGGAAACCGAAAATCGCTGGCAAATTCTAAATTCAGAAGCGGCCCACATAGCTACCAGTATAGAACCTGCTGTTCGCAGACCAACTCTGTTGGGCAGTCTTCCACTACTCATGATGCAGCAAACATTAAAGCAAAAAACAGTCGTCGGAACGTGTCCCAGTACAAGCATCTCAAGTCATCCTTGGACAAACCGCATCTTGTATGCCAGCATGAAGGAGAGGAAGCCCAGCATCTGCAAACTTCGGCATGCTGAGGCCAGCGCGCTTTCCCGGAATTGTGCTAATCGGTTGTACAACTGCTGAAGCTTCTCCTGCCCAACACAAACGAACCCGTCACCGTCAGCTGGTGACGCTACACCTTTCAAGGGCCAGGAAAACCCGATCCCTTGGTAAGGCATCCACGAAGCTGTAGCTCGGGGGAGGCGTAGATCCGGACCCACGTGCACCACCCCTTTTTTGGAGGAGGGGCAGCGGGTGTACATGCCCTCAAACTCGCCTATTCCGAGAATTTTCAATCATGACGGCTGTAAGCTAAGCACCCAGAGTCGGCAGGTGGAGATGTCCAATCTAGGTGCAGCTCGTTGCTATCATCTGCGGTATGTAACATCATGCGCAGCATCCCGCAACTCAATCTCAGGAGTGCACTGAACAAATTCCCAAGGAAGGACCTTCAGAGCAAACTGAACAACGCAGGCCGGCAAACGCTTGCGAAATGCAGTCGGTTGAAATGCTGGGAAATTTCTGCGCACGTCTGGAAGCCTCGGCGGTTTTATCTATCACATGCCAAGCATGACGCAAATGGGTGGCAAATCGAATCCGTTAGGCATCACTCTTCAATCGTGACTTTGTCTTGAAAGTGCTGTTGCAGCCATGAATGCAGATGTTGAGGAAACTCTTGGGCGAGTTCCGTCTTCGTGTCCTTCAGAAACACGTCTGCATTCGGAAGCACCCGCGATAACCTCTCTGCCACTTCCGCGGGGTGTGTCGTATCATCACGAGCCGCACACAGCAAAACTGGAATGCGGAGCTTTGCGGCGGCCAAGTCGTCCAGTGGGGGCAAATCCGAGAATGCAGCGCCCCTGACCACTTCCGAGGCAGCGGGGTCACTTGCTTGCAAGACGTCGGCGTTGTTCAACAAGTTCGCTCGCCGCGCAGCCCGGATCTCCCATGCTGTTGTTACGGACAACAAGACCAATCCACGAACGGCCGTTGGACACAGATATGCCGCCCACAACGCCGTGGAAGCTCCCATGCTATAGCCGCCGAGGAGAGCTCCCCGTAGCTTCTGCGTCGCAGGGGTCTGAAAATTGCTTGCCACCGACAACATGTCAAAGGCTAAGCTGCGCCAATGAAACTGTTGAATACAGCTTGCTAGAGGTTCCCAGCCAGAAGACCGTCCATGACCTCTCGCATCGTACACGACGGTGCTGAAAGGCCATGCGCCCTTACCTTTGTCCGGATCTTCCTGCATCATCTCCTTGACCAAAGGAAAACTCTCACATGCCCGATGATCCATGCCGCGTGGATCCGTGGGCCCCAAGCCATGTCCCCAAATCAAGGGGCATTTGTCGATGCCACCGAGTATCTCGTAAGGCAGCTCCGTACCGTCCAACAGTTGCACCTTGCCCTCTGGCGCTTTGGCCATGGTGCATGGGCTTTCTTTCGAATTTGTTCGAGCCGCAAATCCTCGGCTACGCTAGGCCGCTAGGACCGCTAGGAAATGCACAGTGCCAGCTATTCTGCGAAGGCAGTGCTCAGGCACAAACATCTCGATTTGAGCAGCGTCCTGACGAAGGCAAAACCCTGCAACGACGCATCAACATACAAACCCAGGTAAGCCTTCTCAGCCTTGAGTGCAGTTGTTGACCGTTACATCGAGGACCTCGCATCAGCACAGGCAGTGCTGTGAGCAATCCAGTTCTCTTCACTTTCCGAGATAAGCACCAGACCATCCAGACACGCATGGGCGCACGAGACGCGGATCATTCGTATGCGTGTTCAGTGAACATGACAAAAGTCGAGCGAAAGGCTACGTGCGCTTAGACTGGCTCTACTACCTGTTTTCTGGGGACTCAAGTCTTGCGCAGAATACGCTGGCAGTTCTTGCCCGCCAAGATTGCCTCTGAAGTGCTTTGGCTTGCTCCAGCTGGTGCAATCAAGATTCCATCCATCACTGAAGCCGAAATTGCAGCAACGAGCCTTCGGAAATGATCAACAACAACATCCAACGTGTGCTCCACAGATTTTCAAGTTTGCTCATCTAGCAGCCAACCCAAGCAACGTGAGAAACAATCCCAAATCAGATCATGCTGCAAAGCCGCGAGCATCCTTTCGAGCGACATCGCCCCCCTCCCCTCATTGTGCAACCGTCGGATAGTTCCTTGCATGCAAAGCTACTTTTGACCACATCAGCATGGTTGCATAGCAGACTTTGACAGGCTACATACATACTAACTATATCCGGATTCCTGAAAGAGCTTCACAAAAGTTTGAAGCTCCTACTTCATGTTGTCTGTCGTGAGACCACACGACTGGGGCCTAGGTGACCGCGCATTCTTGACTAGAAATACACACCGCCTCAAGAGCTACCGCAGAACAGTCATGACAGTCTGCCTTGTTTTCATTCTGCTGCGCAGAGTGGCTCCGCTCTTGTTCAAACACTTCGTGTGAGGGGGGACAGACCTGCAGGCTTTAAACAGTTGCGGTATCCAATCACAATGCCACATTCGCAGCAAAACGCTTTGCACGGGAATTTACGAGTTTGAAATGCTGTCATGCTACTCCTTGCCACCCTGTCGACCTGCCACAGCCCCCAAACCATGGCAGCGATCAACACAGATCTGGCACAAAGGGGTGTCTACGGACCTAGACAGTCTTAAGGCAGTTGCTGATGCAACAGGCACGGCAGCAGCTAGGCCTATGGCACCATCCTAGAATCCTGAGCCAGCACGATGCACAAAACGGAGGCCTGTGGCAAAGCACGAGAGGCCGGAGCAGGCTTCAAGCTCTCTCCAGCGACATCCTTTGCAACTGAATCCCACGCAGAAACCGGGCCCGTGCAACGGGGCTGTGCAAAGTGCCTCACACTTGCACAGCACCGGCGGCAGATCTGATTCGGCCGCCACTTGCTGAGCTAGCATGAGCCATCGCCATAAAGGTTGCTGGGACGACTGCAAAAGCGAAGTGCCTTGAAGCATGAATGCCATGGTCCCCTCATTGAACACTTACGGCGAGCTCCCAGCCCGAAGCCGTACCGACCGCGCCCCCGACAAGCCCCGCTGCGACCGCCCATCCAAAGATGCGAAGGCCATCAGCCTCAGCGGCCTCCGGCCAGTCCCTCCACCAGCGGTCTGGCACGAACGAGACCGGAAACACGAAACCAAAGCCAGGAGTTCACTATCACTGCGAGGGGTCCAGGCCTCTTGGACACCTGCAATCATCTGCAGCCGACTGGCAAGACCGTGTGGCATGCACCTGCTTGCACACTCAAACATACTTGGCGTGGAAGCGTCTGAAACATCTCCACCAGAATTGGCTTGGATAGGCCCCTTGCCGCCCAGTCCTGGAAAGCGGAGCCCGTGACCGCCAAATGCAACCAACTCGCACCACCATATGGTTCACTTCACGGCAGAGGGCAGATGGAGCCGGGATGCTGGGGAACTAAGGGTGGGCATTCACAGCAGGGGCAACATCTCCTTGCTCTTGGCATGTCGCCCAAAGGATGAGACTTCGCGTTCAATCTGATCACCGCGAATGCCAGCACAGCGACGGCATCGATGTGGTGGGGACCCTCATCGTCTGGCACTCACTGCTGGCAGCTTGTTTACAAAGTAGCTTTTCTGGGACCAGGACTATAGTTTATCTGGGGTTGAGGTGAAGTTCTATGACCGGCCACCCCTGGACTTCCAACCTTGGCGGTCGATGCATGGCTGTCTGACTGATGTACCTGGGACTGACCTCTTGCGTTCATCGTCTCCCTGTTCACTGTTGCTGGGCCAGGAACCATGGGCATAGTCTCAGACTCGGACATGTAGCTGCACGGTTCGATGTGATCCGACATCCCGCTGAGTGACAAGCGTGCTTCACGCCAGCGTGTTGCCGTTCCAAACAGAATGAGGGCTCAGAGTGTCTTAGATTGCTATAGCAGAACCGTACAGCAAGGCAGCTTCTACGCTGATGGCTTCGGCTGACGGACCACATTGCACAGAAGCATGGGCACGCCTTAGCTCAGAGATTGCAGTGGCCGGTTGCAATGCATGTTTTTTCAGCTGACCTTGCCTTGCAAGCGTGACAAATCTGAGGGTCTCTTTTCACCTAGACTACGTTTGTCAATGTAGTGGCATCCACGGCACTTTTTTACAGAACAAAGCTCAACCACCGGGCTAGTTCAGAGAGGCCCGGCGGCCCTTACATCAAGCTATGCACCTGGGGTACGGCAACTTGCACTGCCACAAAGGGGGCACCACACAGAGGATTCTTCACATCAGGGCTCCTTTCTCACCGAAAACACCAGCTGCTTTACATCAAAGGGCTGCTTCGTCCTTCTCTTCGAGACGCATCGCTTCAGTTCCTGGAAACGCGAGACACCAAAAGACCCGAATCACGGAAAGAGATCTGAAGCTTCTTGCGGACTTTCAAACAGCCGGCTGAAGGCATTTCTCTTTTGTTCGGTTTGTGAGAACTAGACACCATTACATAGACCCCTTTATGTTGCATGTTCCTTTCCGTTGGATTCTCCACTATTGTGGTAATATTCCTTTTCACCATGGGCTTGGGGTAATATCCCTTTCAGCGCGGACTGGGGTGCTATTACCCCGAAACCGAAACCCTGTATACCCTCAGATAGTCAACCAGAGACCTGCATGGCCTGGCAGCTTTGCCTAGAAACCACGTTTCCAGGCACACCAGAGGAAGGGCGATGTTGATACTCATCCCTGGAAGGCTTGGGCAGTCTAGCCCTTTGGGATCTCAAACACTCAAACTTGGACTTCAGGCTGCAAAGTCTGTTGGTCGCTTGTACGACAAATCTGCGGGGCCCCATGTCGCATATAAGCAAGCTGGCCGATACAGCGGCACCGGCATGGTCTCGGCATGAGCCCTAACCACCAGCGGCCCCGTGGCTAATGTGGATCCGAACGGTTCATTTGCAGCACTGCGCAGCCCCTTTTGAGGGAAAGCTGCTGGGCCACCAACCACAAACGTCAACAAAACTAAGCCGCATCGATCTTCGTCAAGATCCTTAAGCGGCCACAACGCACAGCTCTTTTGCTGGGCTTGGGACATTTCAACATTGTCAATGCGCCGCGCAGCTTGTGATGTGGATGTTGAATGCATGGCATTGATAGAGGGTGCACCAACAGAAAGGTATCGTGGCTCGGGCTGTAACGGTGCCAAGGCACCTGGTTGAATTCATCCAAACGTTGTAAGGAGCATCGCAGGCAATCAGGCTTGCCTTTTCGTGGCGTAGAGAGCACGAAGTTCAGCGGCTCAGTGCCACACCTGGCCACACAAGTTCTTTTGGTCGCGCTGCGGTCGGCATAGGCCCAACTGCAACAAGTTCCAGTAGGCTGTACTTGTTGACCAGCGAAGAGGGTAGACATGTGCGGGGCAGATATGAATATAAAGTGTAGATGTAGCGGGCCTCGGCCAATCGCTCACGGAAAGGAGTGTATGGAAAGAGGGGAGTCACAACTGGGGACCTTTCCACCCCAACGCTGACCTTGGGTTTTGTTCCAGGCAAACACGCATTGGCGAAACAATGCCTATGGCATTCACAACTTTTCCTTCCTTTGCCAGAGTTGAAACACCGGTAGATTGTCAGTGTTGCTTCTTTCCAGGCACACTTCTAGCTCAGACCGCACTGGCAAGCAGATCTCGCATGCCCAGCCATGCTTCGCAGCTTGAAGGACCCTCTGAGATCAGAGAACGAAGGCCTCAGTCCTGCAAATTCTGTAAGCTCAAGCTCGGGGCATCAGCGGACATCTTGCCTCTGCTCCAATAGAGCTCGAAGGGCAGCGTGGCGACACTCGCCAGCTAACCTAATCATTCACACTTTTGTGCTTCAAGATTGCTGGAAAGAAACGAGAGGAAGGAAGCTCGGCACATAAAGAAGCGTCCGCATTAATGTCTCGCAGGCGGAGGGTTCTCCAGTACACTTTCCGCATGACGAAAAAGCTGTGACATCCTTATGTGGTCTACAAAAACAAGCAAAGACAAACTTGGTCAGATCTTTAAGTGGTCCTGGAAAAAGTTGCAACTAAGGGTTCAAGGCCGTGACCGTGTAAAGATTTGCCGAATTTTTGGTGGCACAGCCGGAGCGGTTTCCAGCACATCTCGTCACCCAACAGAGTGGAAGCCGTAGGTTTCCTAAGTGGGGTCTTTATGCTTATGTGCCGTATGGAAGGCTGAGGCGGGACTCAGGCACATGGGGCGCAGCCACAACACTCTGCCAGAAATGACTATGCCCCAGTCGATGCACTGCATCTGATCCACTGCGGGGTGTGGCTCAGAGATATTTTTGTGCACCACGCGGATAGACGGCCTCAACTAAGTGGTTATGAAGTAGTTCAGGACCTGGTGTCGGGGTGTGCATGAGCGTGTTGGGAACCTGTCGTTGCACAATCGAAAGAACTTCCAAAAGGCTGGACAAAAACTGCTGGCGACGCGCATTCAGAGGACGTGGACACTCTTCGATTGATTGAAGAGGACTGTGGAAGTGACACACAACACGGTGCAGGTCTGCACCAGCTTTTGCAGCACAAGGCCATGCAGAGGGGTTCAGGACAGGAGCGGACGTGCGACTGGCGAACTTTTCTGCTGCCGATCAGCTGGTCTTGTGCTTAATCGAAGATGCGAAGACACATCGTCCGTCCCAAACTTTTCGCACTGAACTGCTTTGGCACTTTTGAGCATTTTGATGATCTCCCCAGGGCCGAAACGAGCCCTCGATCTGCTCTTGCTCATTAAATTGCAGTACGCGACAATCCTCAATGCAAAACTACGCGGGTCCGTCCGTCACCTAGTGGAACCTCCCAGCCGTCCTGGCAAGCCCGGCCAAATGTGGCGGCGAGTCGTGGCCATTTTGTTGCGTGCCGGCAGCTCAGGCGATCATCGGCATAGCTTTGGATGAAGAAAGTGATGTTTCCGGAGCCTCCAAATAGGGATGCTAAGATCTGATCACAAAAATCAAACCAACCATCTTCGTACAAATGGACCCACATAAACGAATCTTTGTGGGCCGCACTATGCACACCCCAAAAATCTGCAAGTGATTGAGCCTCGAAAAGTCCTGGACACTGAACAACTTCTGGTGAGCAAACAGATGCAAGCCAAATCAAGCTAACCTGAAATGAATAGCAAATCCTATGCGATTTGCATTTTGCTGCCTGGGTTGCTGTTGGCTTCACAATAGAAGGGCGACTGAGAAGCCGCATAAAGGTGGTAGCCCAGGCTCAGCGCCGCCGACTGGTCGTCTTCGGCGTGGAAGTTGGGGGGCGGGTCAGCCGCGGCACCTTCACATTCTTGCGACTGCTCGCGGGGGCGCGAGCTCGCCAACGCCGTGGTGTGCTGCGGCCACGGGACAGGACCTGACCAGCGCTGCTCGGCCCTTGCCTCGTTCGCAGCACTCCGGGCACACGCCTGCTTATTCCTTGGGCTACCCACGACCAAAACGTGCCGTTGAAAGAGGTTGCTAGCTGGCAGCCCGTGACCAGCCCCCAGCCTGCTGGCGCATGCGGACTCCCTGTGCGGACGGACGAGAGTGCGAAAAAAAAAATCGCGGCAAAACGCACGCAGGGAAGCACCTTTGAAGAATTTCCGGTTTCGTGCTTGCGAAAGGCCATCCATGGTCGCGCCAGTGGGGCTTAGCCTCTTAACAGAGTCTTCGGTTGCCGAGCGCTGGATTGTGTGATGCATTGTGTTTCTTTTCCAACGAACCTTTGTGCTATCGTCCGAAGCAGCGCGGTCCCGGTGCAGAAGCCCAAAGCCAGGGCAACAGACTACGGCAGAGAGCATAGAAGCGCAGAGCGCTTTCACACCACACGGCTAGCAAGCGGCGGCTGGGAAGGCGAGTCGGCGAGGATGTCGCTCAGAAGTGGTACATCCCCGTCAACATTGGCCGTGCCGGTGAGGGGCAGGGACAGCAGGCTGGCTGCGAAAGAACGCGCGGCAGCGAAGGAGAGGAGTGCAGACCAGCGGAGAGTGAAAGCCGAGATGGCAGCAGCACGAGGGTGGTGGTGCTGACCGCGCACGGCACCGTGCCAGCACGGACAAAGGTAGCGCGGCCTCGGCACTCCAATGCACCCTTGGCTCGTCTTGCAGTGAGCAAGGCCGCTCCGACAGTACGGCCAGCCGTGGGAGGCCCGCAGGGGGGAGACAAGCGTGGTGTCGACTGCAAGCTGGGCACCACCCCACAGCGGCAGGCCATTGGCGATGACCTCAATGCGTTGGTCGTCTTGGCGTGCAGGCTCGACATTCAAGTCCATTCAAGTCCTTGACAAGTACGTTGAGAGCGACCGCTGCCCTCTGCACACACGAGCAGCAGCGCGCTCGAGAGGGCCTCCCCTGGCCCGCAAAAGGCCGGAGCGCGGGCAGGCGGCAAGGTGGTCGCCGCAAGGATCGAGGTGTGCACGGCAACGGCATCTGGCAGAGGTTAGTGGCAGAGGCAAACGAAGTCCGGGAAGGAGGATGGCTCGGCTGCATGAGGCCCAGCCTGCGAGTCCAGCAGGGCGGCGGAGGCAGCGTCGGCTTCCCGAAAGAAGGCCCTATGGCGAAAGTCGTCAACGGCTTGGGACGCCGGGCGCGGACGGGTCTGCTTGCAGGTGGGCTTCGACGAACGCCGGAGAGCCAAGAGGGACGCCAAAGGCAACAACACCGCGCTCTGCCAAAGGGGTTTCTTGGCCACCAACCCAGATCGGGGAGTCAGGGGCAAGAGCGAGCACACCAGGTGGGAGGATGCCAGCGGAGTTCCAAACCTGTGTTTTAGCAGTGCCTGCTCGCCTTGGAGAAGTTCAGACTGCAGGGCCCGGAGGGCAGGCAGCAAGGCAAGTGAGAACATGGCTGGCATCAAGGGGTCCCTTTGCTCGCCACCCTCGGCTTGAGGGATTTCGTGGGAGCGGTCTCCCGCGGCCCAGACATAGCACGACTTTCGACCATACCACATGCGGGCAAAAGGGAGGACCGGCAGCGTGCTGGGCGTGTCACGCAGTGAAGTAATAGCATAGCCTCCCGGCTAACAAGGTCATACGCAGCAGCTGCATCAACTGACAGGAGTGTCAAGCTCGGGTCGGCCTCAATGCGCGCCTGCAAGGTATGCACCAGCGCTTCGGCACCGGCTCGCGTGGAGAGGGCATACTGGTGGGAGTTGCAAGCGGCTTCGAAGTTGGACGACCAAGCCTCGCGTGCCGCCGCCGGGCTTGCTGAGGGCGACGAGGCGGCCAAGTGCAAGGCCTGCGACAGCGGACTCCGGCACTTGCGCTCGAGCAAGCAGGGAAGCGACTTCAAACAAAAGTTGTGAAGCATCCTCCTCGTCCAAAACCAAACGGAGGATTTCGGCAGTAGAGCCGCTGGGGCCCGGCGCAGCACCACGGCGTGCTCGGCGCAGGTTTGCAAGGAGTGCCGAACGGTCGAGCGCTACTGTAGGGGGGCAGCTGGGGCAGCATCCAGGATGTCTTGGGGCAGCGGGCGGTATGGCTCAGGTGGCCGCCGTGAGGGGTCCGTGAGCTGTTGGAAAGTGGCCTCCGTCGGCGGGGCAAGGGGTTCCGAGCCGCGGACAGTTCGCGCAAGTGTGCCAAGTGGGTGGCGCGCTCAAGCCGGCGCGGCAAATCATCAATGGTGTTGGTGGTGGGTCTGGCTGGGGCGCTGGCCCCGGCAAGTGACGCGCGGAGCAAGGTTTCCGAGTCACTCGAGAATGACCGGCTTTGGCACTCGGTCCGTTCCGGCGGGGCGGAAAAGCAGCATGCGCGGGAGGAAAAGCCAAAGCTTCCAAGCGCGTGCGGCGTTTTTTGAGCTGAAGCTGGGAGCAGATGGGTCCGGGCCGGCAGCATCGCGGATGAATCGCAGCCCAAATCGGAGCGCGGCGGAGTTGAGGTTTGCAAAAAGCAGGTGGGGTGCGGAACACTTTGCAATGCTGCAACAGGGCGTCATTGACAGAGAAAAGGTCTAAGCTAGCCAAGGCCGCCCGCAGCCGCGGGCCATGCAGTGTGTCGGAGTCGGTGTCTGGGGGAGGGCAAGTGCCGTCCTGTACGTCAGGGTTGGAAAAAGAGGAAGAGGACGAGGAGCTGCTAGAGCTGCTGCTCGGTGCGGCGCTAGGTGAGGGGCCAGGCCCTGGGTCGTTT